CCCCCCCCCCCCCCGGTAGTCTCTTTAAGCCAGGATTGTAATTGTAATTTAACAAGGGCTACAATGGCTCCTGAATTTTGTGATGGAATTGTAATTGTTTTAATTATTTTTAGTAATAGGGTGTGTGATATCACTAAATTATAGAAGAAGAATTTCATATTTTTCTAGTTCTAGCTCCTCTTGTCTCTTGTACTATTGGTTCATGTTTTGTTGTGAGTAATGAAGTAGAAACAAGACAGACATAAAAACAGTATGGTTGTTATCCCATAGCAGCACTAGAAATGTGGGTCTTGTTTTATAAATGACCCCCAGGAAAAAAAGGTTTTACTTCTGAAAAACAGGAAAGTAAAGTCCTCTTGTCTGTCTATCTATCTGTAAACTGATCTATGTAATATCATAATGAAAAGTAACTGCGACATTGGATCTCTTAACTGGAACCAATTGCTTTTTGTAAAAAAGTAATTTTCTACACTGTACTGGTGCATGTTATAATAAGCAGACTCTCTGTTCAAGGATCACTTTTGCAGGATGCAAGGCTATAAACAAACACATAATGACTGGCTAAAGTATTCTGGGAGTTGTAGTCCCTCAGAAACCTATTCCAAGCTGTGAATCTTATAATTGTACTTATTCCAGTGCTGTGGCTTAAAAAAAACCTTCCAATGATCTGATAATTTGATAACCTGCCTTGAATTCCATTGTTGGAGAAAGGCGGGATATAAATCTTTTAAATAAAGAAAACAAATAATAAAAATAATGTTCTTTCAAATCCAGGAAACATATTAAGGGTATGGCTGTGCTGGCCATACAGCAAAAGAAAACTTTTATTAGCCAACCAAAATGGGCAAAACACATTGTGCAAACTTTTGAAGCTCCACTGGCTTCTTCGAAAGCTTGCATGATGTGTTTTTGTGCGTTTTGGTTGGCCAATAACGGTATTGGGTTTTTTGGTGGATTTTGTATTTTGTTTTATTTTGACAATGTTTGTGTCTCAAAGCAAGCATCCCCATTTGTATCATCCAGACTTGTTATCTATCTCTGGACCAAGTTATTACAGCCAGTCATTGAACACATTCTGTAGCTTTGAGCCATGGCAGTTAAAATGGTATCAAACTGCATTAAATCTGGAGTGTAGATGCAGCCTGAATTTTGCCACAGGCCTTTGGGGGGGTGGGGAGGGAGGATTTGCATGGAGGCTTGTGTTTTTTAAAAACAGCCAAGGTTAGAGCGAACATCTCCCCTTTCCCAAAAAAACCAAAATGTTTGAGTGATGTCTCCAAAGTAAGAGAGCTTCATTCGAAACCATCTTTCAAAAGGCCATGCTAATTTAATTTATGAAGACAGCAAGGGAAATCTAACAGTCCCTTGGAATCAATGGGAGAGCTTGACAAAATACAGCATAACTCAAGCAAACCCAACCAAAATCCTATGTACCCAATGTGAATCTTGGAGTTATTCTTTCTTGCTTAAACAGGATTAAGTTGGCTTTCGCTGTCGTGGTGTTTTGCCTTCTGGGCCTCTGGGGAAAAAATGCCTGGGATCCCAGCCGTATGGGGAGATGTACACACTGGTCTTGCTACGTAGGCTAGTACAGACCAAGAAATTTATCCATATTTGCTATCTTTGGGGGGTTTGCGGAAGGAGGGATGGAGGCTGCAATCTGTATACATATATGTGAGAAGTAAGCCTCATTGAATGTACCGTACTGGGATTTACTTCCCAGCGAACTGGCACAAGGATCAGCTTATGTGGCAACAATCCTAAGCAAATAGACTTATGGAGTACCAATGAACCCAGTGGGGCTCATTTCTAGTAAACACGCTTAGCATCAGGCTGAATGGCTGCAATCCTACCTAAGTTTCAATGGATATAAGAATCACTTAAATGAATAGAATTCACTTAGATGGGGTTACACTGTATGCATACATATTAGGTAGTCAGCCTTATTTATTTACCTCCGAGTAAATGTTCTCAGGATTTATTTGATTTATCTGGTGTATTTACTAACAAGTAAATGCGCTTAGAGGATTGTTGCAACACTGGTTGGAGATATTTGATAGTTAAATTCTATATGGCAGACAGAAAGGACCTGAGTGGGAAGTATACACCTATATAGTCCACCTTTTTCTGGGGCTCAACCCAGCAAACCCAATGGGATGTTGGGAGGGTTGAAGCTAAAGGTGGAGGAAAAGGCATGGGGACCAGTTTGCCAGTTAAGAACCAGTTAGGATTGGGGGCAGCTGAAAAGAACCCGTGTGGTGTAGTGGTTTGAGCATTCATTGGACTATGACTCTGGAGACCAGGGTTCAAATCCTGGCTCAGCCATGTAAACTCACTGGGTGACCTTGGGCCAATAACACTCTCTCAGCCTCAGAAGATGGCAATGACAAACCCTTTCTGAAGAAACTTGCCATGAAAACCCCAGGATTGGTTCGCCTTAGGGTTGCCATAAGTCAGAAGCGACTTGAAGGCACACAACAACAAC